ATCTTTATACTGGAGTAGATCAATATCTTCTTGGGTACGGAGCATGACAAGGCAGGCAGTGGAGCTCCTGGGACTTGGCAGGGATGGGGGAAGATGGTGGAGGGGAGGAATGAGGAGATAAAGAATGGTGGCGGCGGCGGGGGAGGAAGGAAGAATGATGGTAGAGCCCATGTGTACTAACATAAGTCTGAGCCTTGCACAATCATCAAAAGTGTCTTAAATGGGTCAGCAGATGATGACATATATGACCTCTGAGTAATACAAAAGTCTTGAGTAAATAAAAACAATAAACATTAAACTAATTAAAAAACCAGGCATCGTGCTTGCCATGCTAGGTATAGCAATGGCCTCTCCCCCCAAGTTTGTTCTTCTTTTTTTTTCTATTTTTCTCTTTACCTTCGGCTTTATGATAAGTTGTTTCACGGATATACAAAATAGGTTCCCATTTCACTTGTAATTCATTCTCTGGCCCTGCATTCAGTTTGATCTCGTCACCATGTCAGCGGGGATCACGCGTGCACGTGTCTTGTTTCAACTGAAAGCGCTCAGCCCTGTTCTCTGTCGGTACCACCTCCTTCAGCAAAATAACCTGCAGCTGTCTCGTTCAAATCGTGCTCAAGATGACCTCCTTTCGTGATACCCAATCTTTTCCGCTCCAAGCGGTCTTGCCCAGCCCAATATACCCGGGAGAAACCACCATCGGGGAGTCAGGTGATGTGCACGGCTCTGTTGAGGAAAGCCAGGAGGCTAGTCCTGCCGGTGCGCACCCTTCCCTTTGCTGTTCGTCAATCACCCCCTCTGACTATTTCTTCCGTTTTCTCTTGAAAATCAGTCTCTGGTGAGTGCTTTCACATATCCCTCGGCATTCATCATTCTCTGTTTTGAAAGGGCACACCTTCCTTGCCATGAAACTTTCTCCGACCATGTTCCACCCAGACGCGTTCTCATATGGCTCCCAGTCCACTCCCATCAAGCTCGAGGAACGGTCTGGAAGGCCCACCTTTCAGTCTTCCGCCCCTCACTTTCCTCTCGGCGAGCCCATATACTCCCGAGAAATCTATCTTTACTACCACGGCGAACTTTGTCATCACTACACCATTCTGTTCACCTTAGGAGGCCTCCCAGAGGCAAACTGCTACGCCTCCGATAGATACACTGTTTCCTACACAGGTGTCCTTGTCGCGTGTGCTCACACCTTGCCAGAGCAAGATCGAGTTTGCGTATAGATTGATATAGGAGACTCATGATTCTTTTTTTCGTGGTTCTGACACCCGAGCGGCTTCAAATGCACAGAGCTGTTCTATGAAGATATCGCAAAACCGGAGTGGCACATCGATCTCGAGGAGAAAGACCTCAGAGATTTGTGTGTCTTTCAAGCCAAGGTGGACCAGGAGAAGGACGAGGAGGAATTTGCTGCTGGTGAGCCTCCTTCACGCCAGGTATCATTCAGCGCATCATGATTGGCAAATTGAATGATCCCAGAGCCTTGGTCTCCTGTTCTTGAGTCGTCTTTGTGAAAAGCCGCGCTTGCCAAACTTTTTGAGGAAGGCTGTCCCCTCTTACGTCTCTTCCTCACAATCTCCCTTGCACCTTCCATGCTGACCAAGTTGTTGCTCCTACACCGGACATCTAACCTCCATGTAGTCTATGGCATGACTACATGTGATCATATTCTTCTGTTCTTCTCCTGTCTTGCACGTCTCTTATCTCTGAGTGCGGTACACAGTGTGTTATTCCCAAGAGTACCACTGGGAGTCTCTTTACACTCCTCAAGGCTTTATGGTGGTCTTCTGTATTCCTCCAAAGGAAGGAGGAGCATGTTTATACATCTGTACCGTTGAAGGGTACAATTGATACAGTTGATATGCTCATACGGCATACGGTCGGGGCGGGCCGCCGTTTATGCCGTATGAGAAATTATGCCGTATGAGGAATAGATAAGATAGGCACGAATCCAGTCCTTTTCACTTCCTCAGGATAAATAATGCACATATAAGATCTGTGGGGCAAAATAAAGTGTGACATATGGGAGAGTCTCTCCTTGCGGTGTTTTCTCTTACAATGTGATAGCATGAGACCTTCAGCAAATCTGAAAATACGGGATTCTTGAAGTGGCACTCCAAGGTGTGGGCCACCTGATGCCGAGGCCTGATTGAGATTACATTTGACCGATTTATGCCATATGAGCGTAATTGACGTAAAAATGTAATATTTTATGCCGTATGGGTGTATGCCGTATGAGTGTATCTATCGACTGTACTATGAGTAGGTTGAAATCACAGGTGGTGTTTGTGAAATGGTCTGAAGAGACGGGGTTGAATGGGCAAAAAGCAGATTGAATCAATGGGCTAGTTCAGGTGTTGACAAACACAAAGCTGGGGTATGTAAATATATGCAGACCATTACATATACTACGAGAGGCTAGGAGCTGAGAGAGGAAGGAGGTCTCAGCCAATGACGATGCCTGAGGAACGAAGGTACATCGTTTATACTACCTCTTTCTTTTGCTTCTTTTCTTTGTTAGGTTTGGCGGCGACACGGGCAACGCAAGGTTCGTGCAGACCCCTAACCCTATATTTCAGTCCCATAGACCAGTCCATGGACCTCTTCAGCTCAGACTTCTCCGGCCTAGAACATCCAGTAAATCAAATGACCAAGTGTTTCAGTATTCTTCTGGAATAAATTCAAACTCCGCACACATGAGTACGGAGTTTCAATTAGTCATGAAGGGACCCGCTATGTAGGAAGACTATTGGATACTCACAAGGTAGAGACCATATACTTGTCAGATAGATATGCATATTCTACAAATTATGATGATTTTAGTTTGGCAGATTGATTTGATTTAATGTGTGCACAGCTTAATGTTGGAAAAGGGGTCCAGTTTAGCGTATTTGATGATTTATGGAACTGGTGACATCAATGTTATGGGCACCAGATATGACTATGATAGACTTGATTATTCTGCAAATTATAGTGATTTTTTCGAGACCATGCAATGTCTGTAGCTTGTGTGGCAATAATTTAGTGGGTTGTGGCCCCAGTGGCACTTTTAGGCAAGAGATCAAA